CTTCCCCCAGTAGCTCTGCCTCAGCCGCGAGGGGGGCAGGGGGCAGAGAGGAATGAGCAGAGAGCTGTGTGTGGAGGCTATGTTTGGAGTAGTGGGGGGGGATGTGGGCTGCTGGGGATGAGGAGAAGGAAGGAGTTATAATTAAATTAATGGAGATAGGATATCTCCTAGAACCGGAAGGGACCTTGAAAGGTCATCGAGTCCAGCCCCCTGCCTTCACTAGCAGGATCAAGTACTGATTTTGCCCCAGATCCCCAAGTGGCCCCCTCACGGATTGAACTCACAACCCTGGGTTTAGCAGGCCAATGCTCAAACCACTGAGCTATCCCTCCCCCCTGAAAGCAATGGGGAGGATGGTGGAGGCTGTTGGGAATGGAGGAGGGAGATGGGGCAGCCTTGCTCCTCTCTCCCCCCCGATTTGGAACCCAGTGTACATGTGACACGCCCATGGATCGGAGCCTTGCTACCGTCTCTTGAATGCTGCAGTCGGGATTCATTTGTGGCCATGTGATTTGAAGCCCAGGTAGCCCAGAGGCTGGGCAGTACAGGAGAAAGGTCTCTGCCGTTGCAGCAGAGGGAGCCCAGGGCACTGGCATGTTCCAGGGTTGATGCATTGGGAAAGTCCCCATCAGACAGTAGGTTCCACTGACCCAAGACACACTTGGGCCTGATCCTGCAAAATGTTGCTTGCCCTGCATGCCTGTGAGCTGAAGGTGGCTGAGTGGCACTAGGGCTGCCCTGCCGCTTTCAGTTCCTCAGGCGCTGTCACCCAGGCAAGGAGTGTGTGGACTACAGCCCCACTCCCTGCTAGCTGGTTCCTTCCATTCGGCTGCCAGTGCTGGGCAGGCCAAAGGCTAAGTTTGGATCCCACTACGTCATGCCCCCTCCAGCTCCCAGGACCTGTCCGGCGCCACAGGTGCCAGGTGGCATTTGCCTTCATGCTGTCGGGGCTCTAGTCGCAGGATAATGGTATGGTCTATATTCATTTGTAACATGAACCTCTTCTTTAATCTCTCTAATAAAGACTGAAGCTCTCAGCCGTCTGATTTCTGGACCTCCCATTAGTGGGTGTATCAAGATTTATAACTGAGCAAAATAACATCAATTGGGGCACGGTTGTTTGGAGCTGTGACGACGCAAGGCTCCATGCTCGGGTTGTTCCAGATTTGCTCGACAGGGCTGGGGAAGGAATGGTTGCTGCTGAGATGTATTTCTGACGGGGAGTGCTGCATTTGTAGGGTTAGTGCCTGTTCCAGGGGCAGCTTTGCTCCAAGCCCAGAGGATCACATGGTCAGGAGAACAAGCGTCCGCCCTGCCCTGCCGTGCTCGGCCCAGCGCTGGGGCTTTAGGTGCCTGCAGAGACGTTGAAGAAGCCACGGGTATGTCTAAGTTTACTGGCTCTTCGCTGTTAGCATATTGATTTGCTTTTGCACACCCTTCACCACGAGAGTCACAGAGTTGGGTGAAACTCTCCACCAACAGGAAGTAACGTCAGGGCTGGATTGGCAGGAACGAAGGCCAGGCAGGACAGGGTCACAGCGGCAGTAGTGTGTCCTTCACCCAGCACTCAGCCCCACCCCCCCCCTGGAAGGGCCGACTCTGGGATAAGATGAGGACACGTCTGTTCCACAGCGGCGGATAAGAACCATGAGGTGGTCAGCTGGCCGCTTGGAACTGGAATAAGATAATCAATTGCTTTCACAAACCAACCATCAGATGGCAATTTCCAGTCACTACTAGCCTGGGCTTGCTTTAAACTAGAGCGTCCCTGACAGGTGTCTCTCTAACCTGTTACCTAAATCACCCTTGCTGCAGATAAAGCTGATCACTTCCTGTCCTGCCATCACTTGGGCCCTACTAAATTCACCGCACTGAAAAACACATCCCAGACCGTGAAATCTGGCTAGTGTAGGGGAGTGGCAGTATTGCCACCCTTACTTCTGTGCTGCCTTTAGAGCGGGGTGGCTGCTGGCCGGGCGCCCAGCTCTGAAGGCAGCGCGGAGAGCGGTGGCTGCTGGCGGGGCGCCCAGCTCTGAAGGCAGCGCGGAGAGCGGTGGCTGCTGGCCGGGCGCCCAGCTCTGAAGGCAGCGCGGAGAGCGGTGGCTGCTGGCCGGGCGCCCAGCTCTGAAGGCAGCGCGGAGAGCGGTGGCTGCTGGCGGGGCGCCCAGCTCTGAAGGCAGCGCGGAGAGCGGTGGCTGCTGGCCGGGCGCCCAGCTCTGAAGGCAGTGTTGCCACCAGCAGCAGTGCAGAACTAAGGATGGCAATGCCAAGACCCCCCTGTAATAGCCTTGTGACCCTTCCCTTTTGGATCAGGACCCCCACGGTTACAACACTGTGACATTTCAGCTTTAAAAATCTGAAACCATGAAATTTAAGAGCTTTTAAATCCTATGACCATATTTACCAAAATGGACCATGAATTTGGTAGGTTCCAAACCATCACTGAACGTGGAGAACAAGTGATCGCCATCCGTGTTTAATTCAAAGAAACAGGCCGAGCCTCAGTTCTTACCAATGTCATTTTATTGAGGCCACCGAAGGGCATGATGCCACAGGGATGGCAGTGGGAGGGGTGACAAGGACCAGTTGCAGCACTTTATTGGCTGAGATCATTGGAGTGGGAGGATGTGCCCATCTCGGCTTCGCAAGTTCCCCTGGATCTTATCCTCAAAAGGACAGACCGAAACAGACAGAAGAAACAGTTCCATAAAGTTCAAGTGCTGTGGGAAGCTTGCAGAATCCAAACCAGCCGTGGTTGGTTTGATTTATTTTCATTCAGGTGGATACCAGCTCTCTATCATGCATTATGTACAGATAGACAGACGCCACACCAATTGATTGAAAAGCTCTACTGACTTCAGTCTCGCAACACTTGCATCAGTGTGAACGCATTGATTATAGAAAGTGGGGTGTGCAATAGCCCCTCTCTATGGGGTAGGGTTGCCAACTCTCCCAGTTTTGCCGGGAGTCTCCCAGAATCGGGCTCTATCTCCCAGAGGCTACTGAAGCCAGATTTTAAAAGTCCGGCAGCACAGCGGGGCTAAGGCAGGCTCCTAGCCCTGTGCCACTCCCAGAAGTGGCCAGCTTGTCCCTGCAGTCCCGGAGGGGGGAGGAGCAGGGACTCTCTGTGTGCTGCCTCCGCCCCCAGCACCAACTCCACAGCTCCCATTGGTCAGGAACTGTGGCCAACAGGAGCTGCAGGGGTGGTGCCTGCAGGGGCAATGTGCAGAGCTCCCTGCCCCCCTTTTCCCCCAGAGGCCGCAGGGATGTGCCAGCCGTTTCCGGGAGCAGTGCAGGGCCAGGGCAGGCAAGGAGCCTGCCTTAGCTCTGCTGTGCCACCAACTGGGAGCCATCCAAGGTAAGCACTGCCTGGCCAGAGCCCGCACCCCTCACCCCCTCCTGCACCCCAACTCCCTGCCCCAGCCCTGACCCCCCTCCTGCACCCAAACTCCTTCCCAGAGCCTGCATCCCTCACCCCCTCCTGCACCCCAACTCCCTGCCCCAGCCCTGCCCCCATCCTGCACCTTGAACCCCTCATGTCCAGCCACCCCCCCGGAACCCACACCCCCAGCCTCAGCCCAGTGAAAGTGAGTGAGGGTGGGGGAGAGCAAGCGACAGAGGGATGGGGAATGGAGTGAGCAGGGCGAGGCCTCAGGGCAGGGCTGTTTGGGTTTGTGTGATGAGACAGTTGGCAACCCTACTATGGGGACATGTCTGGATACTTCCACAGGGGAGGACGTCCCAAGCCCTGAACCAGGAATCTGGGAGGAGGGTGGCTGATGAGACTCAACTCCCCAAGGCATTTTGTGACAGCAGGGAAGCAGCGTGGAGGTGACAGGGTAGGGTGCGGTGTAGGAGAACGGAATGGCACCAGAACTCTGCTTTGCCGTGAATCGAACAACGCAGAAAAAAGCCAGGTGGCAGAGCTGTGGAGCTCGGCACAGATTGCAGATGACCTCAGCAAGGGCAGCCAAGCCTGGCCCACCAGCTTTTCTGTTTCAGAAAGATTAGTGGCAGCTTCCATCAAAAGGCAACTACTGTTAAACAGGGCTGCTTTGCACCCCACTCTATGGCGGTTTGCTGGGGCTCATCCACTGAGGCACCAAAACCTCCCGTGCCGAATACTCCCAGACTCCGGATCTAAGTTTTGCAAGTGGACCCAACCAAACCCCAGGATTGGCATTCAGGCTGTTTGGGAATCCGGCTCCAAAGTTTGTAGCACACACACCCCCTCTCTGCTTATGTGAGAATATACAGATCAAATGGCTTTGCCTCTCTCTCCTGAAACAAGATTGCCTCTCGCCCCTGTTCCAAAACCAACGTCGGGCACTTGGTTACAAGCACAACAGTAAGAGGTGCTGGGCCTGCTTCCCAACTCTCTCTCAACTGTTTGAGCATTGGCCTCCTAAACCCAGGGTTGTGAGTTCAATCCTTGAGGGGGGGCCATTTAGGGAACTGGGGTAAAAATCTGTCTGGGGATTGGTCCTGCTTTGAGCAGGGGGTTGGACTAGATACCTCCTGAGGTCCCTTCCAGCCCTGATATTCTATGAACTGAAGAGCGTTAACTTACAGTCTTAGGAGGGACGCTACCGTTGGAGGGAGATGAATGTTGGCAACTTTAAAACTCAAGGTTGGCCAACCAAATATCCAAGGCAGGCTTGGCAGCGGAGCTCTGGTTCTTCAGGACACGGGCCTGTAAACTAGCACCCAGTATTTTAGGCTCTCTATTCAGGCAGGGTGTGTACATTTAAGAGGAGGGATTATTTAGAGCGGAAGCAATGCACAGGAAACCCACATGCCAGGGAATGGTGCTAGGGCATGAGAACCAAGAAGTGAAACTGACCAATATAGTTTCACCGCTCAAGCTGGCCTGCAAAAAGGAAGCAGCGTAAATGGAGAAAAGGCTTTGGGGGTTGTTTTTAAATCTCCCTTTTTAGGTGGTTGTTTTTTTAAAAACACCTCATGAGACACAGATAGGGCTTTTCTGCAAATCATTTTCATCTTGATACTGTTGTCACTTAAATTCACATCTAGCCCGATCACTTTGTTTAGCGGTTCTTTGCTCAACCACAATTCCTTGCTCAACCACAATTCCTTGCTCTCAAATGTAACATTTTGCTTGCAGAGGTAGGATCTTGTTCGAGATCCTTGCACCATTTGGGTTTTTGGAAGACTGCTTTGCTCAAGCAACGTTCTGGAGCCCTTGTAGGCCACGGTTTAACAGTCGGTCTACTCCATACCAGCCTACTCCCTTAATTCACTGCAATTCGATCACCGCAGGCATTAGCACCATTGTCAAATAAACCTATTGCTGTATTGTTTCAAGCAAGACCAAAAATCAAAGCACAGCTGCTTGTGCAGTGTGGGCTTAAGGGCTGATCTCAGCGACACCAGTGTGAACTTGGAGTAACTCGGAGGAAGACAGTGAAGCTATTCCAGATTTACACCAGTGTAGGATTTGGCCTGTGATCTGCAGGCACCAAGTTTCTAGGTCAGTCTCCCAGCTCCAGGCGCACAGAATATAAAAGCCCTCAAAACGTGCTGCCACGAGGCTAAGATATGTTCAACAGTCATATTTCAAAGCTAACGACCCTGTCAAATTCCCAGTGAAACTCGGAACGGGAAGACTCCCCGCTTATGTCAAGTGGGCCCTAAGACAGTCGACACAGACAGGTTTAAGAAGCGAGGTGCTCCACTGTTTTCCAGTCACAGACCCCAGGCTCCCCCTGCTCCACAAGAGGTCCTAAGGAAAGTGCGAAAAATCAGTCTTCGTAGAGGGACATAGCAGCACCCAGGGCTAGGCAACATACCAGAGCCTCACAGCTCACGCCTCATCGGCAACGGAGAAGACTGCATCTCTCTTACTCTTTAATGGGTGGGGTGGACTGAAGAGACAACCACTCCCAGCATGCCATGCTGCATCTTGATCAGAACGGCTAAGGCCCACCAGCTGCAGGAGGACTGGGGGAGGCGGTGGAAGAAACGAGGCCAGGAATAGGATCCCACTTCTGGACAGGGGAAAGACTCTGGCTTGGCACTGAGTTTGTCCCAACCCTCTCACTGATGGGGGAGTGGGGTGGGAGATCAGGATGTGGGGTGCCCCCTCTCCTGGCCCCATTACTGGAGTGAGGAGATAAGAGTGGGGTGGGGAAGGTGGCTCTAAAGAGCAGGTCAACACAGCGGGTGGGTGACCTTCCTCCCACTCCAGCCTCACTGCTCATGGGGAGAAGATCAGATGTGGATGGCGAGCGTCCTCTGTTTGGTCCCCAGGCAGCCCAGAGTAAGTGACTTGCTCACACCACAAGTCAGCGACAGAGCAGGGACTAGAACCCAGGAGTCCTGGCTCCCAGTCTCGTGCCAAGTCCATGAGACTACAACCTCTTTGCAGAGCCACTGTCTCCACCAGGTTAAAACCTCTGTTCTCCCCCCTCCACAGCCCCAAGGAAGTCACATGCCCAAATCCCCCAGTCTCCGCTCTCCAAGTTCTCAGATCACTTAGATATTGACATCAGAGGAAGCCCCGACGTAGCTGGTTGTTCGCCCAGCGTCAGGAACAAGGGTAGCGTTAAGGTTTGTGCGCGGTGCTCAGACGAGCCGGGGACTTTCCCTGCATGCGTCGTCTCCCCTCCCCGCCGGCGTATTGCTCTGTGTGCAGGATCAGATACAAACAAGACCAAGGTGATGTCTGTGTGGGCGGATATCCGAGTGGTTGGGACAAGTGGAGCCATTACCTAGAGAGAGGGGACCCCGGGACCACGGACACACTCCCCCAGAAGGATGGTGAGGAGCAGGGAAGATCCCCGCTTCCTCCACTGCCCAACCTAGCCAAACCTTAACATGCTCTCTCCCTGCCGCCGCGCCAGCCCTGGCCGACACAGACACAGTCCCTCCCCGCGGTCCCGTCTCCGGTACAAAGCCGAACCCCATCCCCAGGCCCAGGATCAAACGTCCGTCATCTCATCCTCCAGCTCCGCGTCGTCCGTCTCTCCTTCGCCCTCCAGCTCCTCCTCCTCCTCCGAAGTCAGGTTGGCGTCGTCGGCTTGAGCCAGGCACTTGGGGCAGGAGCAGGTGAACAGGTAGTGTTCCCTGAGGGGAGCAGGGGAGAGAGAGAACCATGTCAAGGGAGTTTGCAGTACTACGGTGCCAGGCTGGAGAGCCAGCCATTCGGGGGTTAACTCCTCATTCATCCCTCCCTCCGAGCAGGGAGAGCTCTCCATGCAGCTGCTGGAGGGCAGGGGTGTAGCCTGAGCCGTGAGTTATGCTGGACTAGAAGCCACTGGTCTCTATCGTTCTACCCTGAACACACACAATAGCTACATAAGAACGGCCAGAATAGGTCAGACCAAAGGTCCATCTAGCCCAGTCTCTTGTCTACCGACAGTGGCCAATGCCAGGTGTCCCAGAGGGAACGAACAGAACAGGGAATCATCAAGTGATCCATCCCCTGTCGCCCATTCCCAGCTTCTGGCAAACAGAGACTTAGGGACACTCAGAGCATAGGGTTGAGTCCCTGGCCATCTTGACTAGTAGCCATTGATGGACCCACCCTCCAGGAACGTCTCTCATTTTTTTTTAGATGCCTTCACAACATCCCCTGGCAACAAGTTCCCCAGGTTGGCTGTGCGATGTGTGAAGAAATACTTCCTTTTGGTAATATCAAATCTGCTGCCTGTTAATTTCATTGGGTGACCCCTGGTTCTTGCGTTGTGAGGAGTAAATCACACTTCCCTAGTCACTTTCTCCACACCACTCATGATTTTATAGACCTCTGTCATATCCCCCCTTAGTCGTCTCTTTTCCAAGCTGAACAGTCCCAGTCTTTTGAATCTCTCCTCACCTGGAAGCTGTTGCACACCCCTAATCATTTTTGTTGCCGTTCTCCGAACCTTTTCCATTTCTAATACATCTTTTTTGAGATGGGGCGACCACATCTGCCAGCAGCATTCAAGGTGTGGGCGTAGTAGGGAGTTATATAGTAGCATTATGGCATTTTGTGTTCTAGTCTCTATCCCTTTCCTAACAGTTCCTAACAGCTCAGGAATAAGACAACCTTGGGCAAGACACATCTTTGGGTTGGGTCTACGCCGCAGGTTGAGGTGTGACTGCAGCGCAGGTAGGTATACCAGGCTTGCTTTAGCTTGCACAGGTAACAGGAGCAGTGGAGATGCAGTGACAAAGGCATCAGCGCAGGTTAGCGACCCCAGCACCAGCCCCCCAGGGACTCCGGGTACAAACTCGGGATGCTCGCCCACGCTGAAATCTCTGCCGCCACGTCACCGCTGCTACGGTTGCCTAGATTAAAGCTAGCCTTGGCATGCCCACCCAGGCTACAATCACACTGTCGCTGCCTTGTAGATGGACCCTGCGGCGTTGCTGCGTCTGCCGGCCTGCTCGGCCGCTCCCAGGGTTTATGCTGCTTGACAGGGTAGGAGCGACCCGCTTCCTGCAAAACAAAGACAGCAATAAAGCCAAGGGGCTCGGGATTTTGCCAGGAGCTGGAGAGAAGTCACCAGCTCACAGTGCAGACAAATCCATGTGTGTATGCACGGGATGTACACATCACATACATGCATGCCTGCTGCGTGATCCTACTGCCTGTGTATCGTGCATGCTGGTGTGGATACCGATCTGTCTGTCCCGAAGGGGGAGCGTGCCGAGTGCAGGCTGTACGTTAGGCCCAACACCCTTCCGACGGCAGAGGACACAGTGGCCCGTCCAAGCAGGCTGCACGTACACGAACGCTGCAAAGCCAGCTGAACGGAGACCAGGAGGCACCGGACAAAGGCACAGACGCAGGCCACAGGGCGAGGAGGGCAGAAGCAGCAGGCTCAGGTCTTGGGGCAGAGGCTGAATGGAGCAACTCTGGTTGATTTCAAGTATCTCTCTGTGGCTGGCAGTGTGTGTGTGTGGGGGGGGCGAGTGTGCG